TATACAAATAATAATAATTAATAAGATATCAATTTATTATACTTATTACTTGATATTAGACATTAATTCAATAAATTTCATAATATGGTATCTACTACTTATTTATATAGAAAAAAATATTTACAAACAATATGAAATGCATTTGTATAACTTAGTTCAAGTCATTGTAAATGTGTCATAAATCATAATACTTATAATAATATGTGCTATAGAAATAGAATCATTCAAATTAAGAACGGAAATTCATTTTTCTTGCTTTTAAATTAGCAAAGTCATTTATAACCTTTTCTTAATTTAATTCTGATGTACGAATTTGTTCTACATTAAGTATAGCTATATGCCTGTATTAGTCAAACGATCTTGTGTTATAGAATTTCTCAGAAAGTTCTTAATAAGTTTTAATTTAGAAAATGATCTTTCTGCAGAGGCAACTGTAACAGGCAATACTAAGAATAGCATGCAGGCTCCTAGTACTTCAGAGTAACTTATAGAAAAATCATTTTTTAGGATAAATGTTGCAAGTTCACCAATTGTTTTTAAATTTTTGTCTATGATCATTTCCTTAAGAGAGATAAGTTGACTGGTAAATTCAGAACTTATATTTGATTGATATTTAATTATAAAGTCATATGATTCTTTAACAATTGAATTTTCCCCAGATTCAATAATTGATTGAGGTCTGAGAAAATCAAAAGTACTACATACATTCTGCAGGCCAAAGAAAAGGTTTTACAATTGGCTTAATACAGTGTCGACAACAGGAAGGAACACTTTAATTCTGAAATTTTCTTCAGTAATTTCCAGTCTTCGGTCTCCATCAACATCATCAAAAATTTTTTTTGCAAATTGTGGTCGAGTTGCCTTATATTTGGTTGATATTACCCATTTTAAATATAACAGTTTTGCATCGTCAACAACACTGTCATAATTTTCTCTTAATTTTTTAATCGACTGGTATGCGTTTTCCAGTCGATTACGGGCTTTTTATAAATCTGTATCTTTGTACTGCAAATTTTTTGATACACCATGTAATGGACGCAGTATTTTCTCCCATACACATAAAATTAAAACAAAATCAAATGATTCAATTTTTTTCATTAAAGACATACTTATGGTTTTTTCATTTAAAATAGATGCGGGGCACCGCCGCCGGGGCCCCCTGAGCCGACGATTAGTGGCCCTCTACAGAGGCATTGCCCCTGCGGTTATTAAGGCAAGTATAAGCAAATATTTACTATAATATATACACATATATATATAAATATACTATATTATTTATTATTTACTATTATTATGCATCTATTAATAACATAGACATAATAATATTATTATGTCTATGATGATTAATAATAAATATATTCATGGTGTATAAAATATATAGACGTATTACTTCCATGACTGCCCCCAACTATTACCATCTCTCTCAAACAATTTCGACGACCAGATATGATAGACTGGAGGTGAGGAAAGCGCAGTCCATATATTATTATGTCTATGATTGATAGCGAACTGTTCCACCGGGCAGGGTCACTGGCGCCTACATAATTTCACAGACGTATGATTTTATTTTGTCAATTGAATCGATGTTATTCATGGTAACCGAAACTTTTGTTAGTAGTAGGTATGTTAATATATTGTATATGCGTCAAAATGCTGACATGGCGCTGATATAATATTATGTATTTATGTAAAAGTTTAGTTGTTTAACAAACATTTAGTCAAACAATTGAAGTAAAGAATTAACGGTAAGATCTTTGTTACCATTGTTAGCTTCAAAAACAGTTTTAACTGTTTCTTCATCCATATTTGGGAACATGTGTTTAATATTTAAATTTTTTAAATTATATAATTAATTTACTTGTTTCAAGTCTTCTACATTAAGAGTTGGCACTTGTGGTGCTGAAGGTTGAATGTATATGGGAGTTAAAGCGGCACTTGAGTTGCTGAATTTTGGCATTTGTGGTAGCATAATAACTGAACTTGTTAAGACCAAACTAGGTGGAGTCTTGAAAGTCAACAAGGATATATAGTTAATATAATATTAAGTAACTACAGAAATGTAATTATCGTTAAAAAAGATTAGAACTTACTCCAAAACTCATTTTATTATTTATAGTTTCTTCATTATTTGTTCCTTGTTCACCGGTTAGATTGTACCACTGTTCAATTTTGATCCCTAAAAAATTTGATTAGGAATTGGTATTGTTGTCCAAGCAATAAGTTCAACCATTTTGAAAGAACATTCATCAAACATTTATATATGAATTAGATTGACATCTTCTTGTGGAAGTCTAAAAATTTGTAATCATTTTTAATACATTCAAAATAAATAAGCACTAATTTGAATTACGTTTGAACAGCTTAATGCCACTTACAGGTTTTACCACCATTAGAATCTGTTTGTGTTTCATATACACAATGTCCAATTCTAAGCCGTACACATGGATCCATTCTGGTTAATCTATAGTTTTTGACAAGCCGCGCTTGTACTATTGTAATATTTAATCTATATCTATCACGGTCTCCTTGTACATAAGATAATGCTTTGTTGCAGCTTGCTGGTCTGCAGATTCTTGTTGCAATCTATTAGTAGAATCATGTAATGAAAATAAGTCTAGGCGTAAGAAGTCTTAGGGTAAATCACCAACATACACCTGCAAAATATGATTATTGTTTTAAATTTAAATTAATTTAATATTAATATGATTAAAAATTATAAGTACTGTTAGATTTTAATTTTTAATCATGCAGAATAAAATACATTTTATAACATCTATATTATTTAAATTTGTGGTTTTAAGCAATAAATGTAATAATAAACACTGATAGTAAATTTAGGTTACTATAGTTATAAATTAGTTATAACAGGTATAACATAATTTCAGATAACACTATATGAATACCTTATATAGATAAAAACTGTTTAATTAAATATAATATTTATATAATTTTATATCTTCCTAAACCATCATGTAGTAATACCTGAACCTATTAAATATATTTTATAGGTATTCTGTAGGTAATTATTATTTTTGTTAATTTGTAAGATGGCATCAAGTATAATAAGCACATAGATTTGCAGGAATGAATATATTTTTTTTTAAATCCAACAGGTGTACATAGTGTATAAACAATATTAATATGAAGACCTTGATGCAAGAGACAATCTGTTATTATTTATTATGTTAGATTATGACTTATAAAGTATTGTTGAGGAACGAAAATAAGCACCATAGGGCAGCGTTTCCCAAATAGTGGACCGCGACCCACTCCTGGGCCATCAAAATTTAATACCGGGTTGCAGAATTCAATGAAATTCTCATATTAAATTTGTTATTTATCATTTTCGTTTGATAATTTAAACTGTTAAGTATGAAGAAGAAGTCAAATAGATGGGAGAGATGATTCAAATGTGTTTTATTTTGCATTTTATTACATAATGATAAATGTAAAATATTTTGATGGGCCACAAAGGTGAAAAATATAAATTACCGGGCCAACCCAAACAAGAGTTTGGGAAACGCTGCCATAGGGCATAGACACGTAAACATTGGTTTTGTCAATGACACACAAACTGAGTTAACCAAGTTAAATAGAATCTATTATAATATTTAGTTTAATGTATAAAGTGAGCAAATTAATATATTATATTTCTGCCATTGTGGTGTTTGAACATATTTAGTATGTACTAATATCAAGTAGACTAAATTTATACGTTTTAATCAATACCTAAATAACATAACCTAATAACTTCAAACTTAAATCTAATTTGTGTAAAAGAAAATAAATATATATCCCAGAAGTGTCTTAAGTTAAACTGGTTTAAAATTATCCCTCTTTAGTCTTAATCCCACCCGGGGTTGATGAGTCATGTACCTTAATGATAGGAACCAAACGTCCTGGTGCGTTTTTTTTTTCACTTGTGTTTAGCCTATTTAATTTCTAGTTTATATTCACAATTTTGAATACTACATTTACACACATTAGAAAATACAGACTTCCATCATAAATTTGGATTACGTTAAGTATACAAAAAACATTTATTTTTATTTTCATACTGAATTATTATTGTTCTTTTGAACACCTAAACCCACTAAATAATATTGAGTTTAGTCTTGAAATTACTTGAATCAATAGGTATGAAGCAGTATAAAATAAATGGAAAGGTTAAAAATGAATGAAAATAATTGAAATTGGCTAAAAGTAACTAGCAATAACAAATATTACAATATTTGAAAGTCACTGTTAATAGTAATTAAAGTCTAAAGTAGTTATACAATATATTGGATTGTTGAATATTAATTTACCCTTTTTGTCTCTCATCGTTCACCCTTGTAGTAACAGATTCCATGGTTTATAATTTGTGAACAATACGGACACGTATAAATTTGTCATAACACACAATTGAAATAAAAATGTACACAAATGTTCATTTGATGTTTGTATAATATTTTTTTTTTTGTTTTTGTTGACACGAAGTTCGCAATTGCGTATTTGAGTCTACTGTGTTCGTGTTGCTAAAAAAAAATACGTACACACAGTTTAAGAATAACATCAATGATTAAATTAGTCACCCAATAACAAATATTTATAGTTGTTATCATGCGAAAATATTTAAATACCTTCCGTACGTCTATGATCTGCACCCAGTCAAAATGTAGAGAACTTAGGTAGATAGAACTAGATAGAACTTAGGTAGAGAATATATTAATATAAATTATAATTATCATTCGCGTATACATCATATCATAATAATATTGAAATATTGTTCCACATCGAGATAAAGAATACACTTATTGAAAAAGAAAGAATTGTAATAAAAAAATATAAATGTATTTAAAGAATACACATATTCTTTATCTCGATGTTGTTCCATGATAATTGATAATAATATAATGTAATATTATTATTTTGTAGTATTTATTCAAGCATGATATCATTATCTTTTTTACAATAGCTGTTGTAATTTCTTAAATCGTGGCTAAAGATAATAAAATATAAGGTTTGATGAAGTTATAGTGCGTTCAAGAGTTAGTTGCATGCACTGATTGCCGAAATAAACAGAATGCTAACGACTTAACTTCAACAATATCAATTTAAATTAAATTAATTTTTCTCTCCTTTTCGAAAACTTGTTCGCTTTATATTTCTTTTGAAGAAATTCTCATTTTTAATTCAACCAATTTAGCAAGTGTTTGAAAATTTTTATTAAATAATTGCTGTACCAATACACTAGTTCATAATGTCTGACGTTGAAGATGCCGTAGAGGTTGGTGAACACGGAGAAATGTACAACCTTTTGAAAGAAGTGTTAAAAAATGCCCAGGTTAACGGCAGCCTTTTACACGGAATACATGAGAGTGCCAAGGCTCTGGAGAAGAAACTTGGTAAATGTTAAACTAGTTGGGGGACCTATTTTATTGTAATTTTCATGTTTTTGATTTTTGCACAGGAGTACTATGCGTCTTGGCCAACAACTGCGAGGAAGCCATGTACAAGAAATTAGTGACTGGATTGTGTGCCGAGAGTAGTACCCCTCTGATTGAAGTAGACAGCAACAAAACTCTAGGGGAATGGAGCGGTCTGTGTAAGTACGACAACAACGGTCAAGCCAGAAAAGTGATAGGATGTTCATGCGTGGTTGTCAAAGATTTCGGAGATGACACACAAGAATTGGACACTTTGTTAGAGATTTTGAAGAAAAAGAATTTTGCGTAGATCAATAAAACCAAATCTTTTTAATTTAAATGTTAAAATTGTGTTTTTCTTTACAATTGATAATTGAGAACATCAGCATGACACAGATTTGCTATATGTCATCCATACAAAATAATACATAAATATTATTCAAATTTGAAACTTTGTTGTTTTATAATTTAAGTTGGGTTTATACTAAATATCATGAACAAAGTGTCATAGACTCATAGCTGCATCCATTTTTTTTCAAACAATATTGAAAGTTATAACAATTGAATATGCTGCATTTTACTTTAATGATACTAATATTACCAACACCTTGTCATGGTATTAATGATCAATCCATATAACATTACGTAATAGTCATGGTTAGGTTTATATTCCCACATACTATACTAAATTGGATTAAACGTGATCACTAATATTTAGGATCATTACTAACTAGTTGTACAATAATTATATGTTGGATAGGATGACTTTTTTAAATGGTTTTTATTGTACTAACCAAAATAACTTAAAAGTAAGAATTTTAATAAGTCTCAGCTGTCCTTTTTAAGTTTATAAACCCTGAAAATTTTGCCTCAAAATGGGAATTTCAAGAGAATGTTACAAACAAGTGACAAATTGTACGTGGTAGATATAATCCCTCATCTTCTTGATGATATGATCATTGAAGTTACAGTAGATTATAAGATAGATCTAATTAATTTTTACGTTGATAACTACAAGAATGTATGGGTATTCAAATGTTAACATTATTTTGACTCTGAAAAGTAATATCTTTGATATCAATGATAAAAATGAAGATTGAAATAAATAATCTCGATGGAATTTTATATTTGATAAAACCTTATTTATGTATAGTAGGTGAGCATGTAATGGGTATACATACAAATTAACACTTGAAAGGTACTATACACTATCACAATCCTAAATATTTATCAATGTTAACGGCTGCCGATTTTGCTACCATGTTTGTCATACTTACCCCGTTTATAATTGATATTTATAATAGTTTTATCATTTTTCAACAATATTGAGTGTTGCATTTTTAAAATATTTTTGTCTTCGCAAATGACTCATTTATACAATATAACAAACTGCTATAGTATACATGACAGGTACCTAAATTATGTATTTTAATAAATTAATTTATAAAAATAATTGATTTTAGAGCCTAATAATTAGGATATTGTTTTTTTTTTGTCGAAAGTTAAGGATAAATTATCTTTTGCACAATAAACCTATTGTTAAAAAAAGGTATTTTTATGTTTCTGTTAAATGTTTGCACTTGTTACTACTCACTTAAAATAAGATGTTAGAAATAATATATTTAGGTGTTAAGTTTTTTGCCAAAACTTATAACTAACTACAAACAATTGTATTATTGTGAACAATACAATTTAAAATAATTAAATAAAAACATAGTGTACAACAACACGCTTCAGCTTTATTCATATTAAATTTATTAATTAAAATTTTTACTTATTTAAGTGCATAAAAATTCACTCTGAATTTATTAGTTTAACCGTACAAGCCTTTAAGGTTTAAGGGTCTAATATCAGCATCCAATTCTTAATATTCATGTTCAATGGCATATTTAATATTGAATCTTAAATTTGATTCAAAGGTAAGAGCTTATACTTATTTTATTAATGTAATGTATTTATACAAAATATTACCACAGAATAATGTAATACTATCATACGTTTGCCCAGCCTTCTGTTCGAGGTGTGGCTTTTATATTTTTGACCATCCACTTTTCCAGAAAAAGTGAGTTATTGAATCTATTTATCTAAGTACCTGGTACCTACTAAAAAAATATCTAGCCTCAGGTGTGCCTATGGCCCTATAAGACACACCTCTGTGCAGCTCTATGACTACTACCTTTGTGAATTTAAACATCCTAGAGAGCTTTATACTAAGTAGGTATAAGGTTTATGATTTTAATGTATACTTTTTATTTTGAGCTCAATCTAGATGGGCCCATTTGTAATTTTATATATAATTATATACTATATTGTACTTATGCAATCTAGCCAACCTGAAATGTTTTTCTTATGGGCTATGGCCTACCCTTGCTGATCTCTAGACTCTAGTAGACACTAATTATTTTTATTGCAAATTTTAACTATAAATCCAGAAGCCTGTTTAAAATCAAATCAAATTTATTTAGGTCTGCTTTGTACTTACTCACCCAAGTGGCATATAAGAATTGTGACTATATCATGCTATTTTAATAGTTGTTTACAACTTATGAAAACTGTTTATTATTTAGTAATATTACAGTGTAATAGATATTATGAGATAAATTTATTTTACAGAATTATTAATTAAGTACCTATAATCTATATATTTTAGTTAATGATAATTTATTAAGTCAGTGCTATAGCTATTGACTAATCGTTTTCAAACAGTAGGTAGTAGATTATAGTAGATTAACCTCAGGGAAGGCTAGGCCAACAATAAAATAGTTAAAATAGTAGTTCTGAGAATTGGACAGTGGAAAATATATGAATAGAATAGGCTAAATCATATTCGATAATAGAAACGCTCTCACAAGACCACGACAATTAATCAATAGGAGATATTGATCAGTTTAAAAGACAATATTATAATAGCTATGTTAATAAAATATTATAACAGTAGAAACTACCCTCTTTTATGTCGATAACAGAACGACACGAGATATCGCAATTTCAACCATAAGAGTGTGGGACGATAGTATTTCCTAGACCTTGTAAGCATACAAGCGATGGTCAATGGGGTCAACACTATCTTGTCGATCTGATATTCAGACGTGATTTGTCAGAGTGAGTACAAGCACCTTCTAGCCAGCAGACTCTGAAATTATTCAAATACACAAAATATTCAATCAGTTTTTACATTCACAATAAAATTCATGTTAATAAATAACAAATTGACTTGAATTATTACACTTTATCGTCCATCACCCTTGTATATTCAGCATCTGTACACGGGATCATTATAGACGTATGCATTCATAATATAAGTACTATTTATTTGATGGTCTTCAATGTATTAATATTTCAAGAATTGAAGAAAAACAAGGGTATAGTTACCAAGTAACAGTTTTTTTTTACAATTTTCAATTCATAAGTACAATATAATATTTGCACTATGATTCTTTCATCAAAGAACTGTAGTTATTTCAAAAAGTGAGAACAAAAACTATAGACTGTTGTAATACCAGAAACGTTAAAAAAACAATTTTTCACAATGTATTTTTGCATTAGTATTTTTCATTACCAACAATCAGTCATGAAATATAACAGTTTTTAAATTTGGTTGTAAGAGATACTTATGGCAACATATTTTCAATACAGTTGAGTATTATGAGGTCATTATAAAAGCCATGCTTTTATTGACAGGGCCAGGCAAGGCGAAGCACTTGTGCTGAAATCTAACTTTTTTTAATACCTATACTTTGTAAATTATAAAAAGTTACATTTTGTGGCTATAATAATATTTACTTACTGCCTTAGAATATTTTTTATCTATTATTTTTAAAAACACTGGATCTTATTTCCGAATTTGGAATTTTCACATTTTAATGCTTGAAAAAACATACAGATGACTTATTAGATCAGAGCGGATTTATTTGTTTTAAGGCTATAAGCACTAAAAATTTGCTGATCTATTATAACTAAGAAAGTTAAAAAAACCCTCCAAAATACCCTAAATATTAAATATAACAATAGACAACAGTACCTAAATCGGCTAAATCTATTTGAATTTTTAGACAATTATTTTCAAGCTTTTAGTTACTTTGGGAAAATTGCAATGGGTGTCCAGAGTCCACCAAATTTTTATGAAAACCTACAATGAAAATTTGTATGAATTATGTACCATCTTAATAAAACAAAATTAAAACCATTGTTTGGAACATTAAGTAAGACATTGCAATTTACAACATGTTTTATAATATTTTCATTTATAATAATAGCCAATAGGCATACAAAGCAAATGTATGCCATGTATCTCCTATGATAACTATTTTTTTTGTAACAATTCTTAACTTAACTGTTTTAATTTTACAAGTTAACTTCTTGCCTTTAAAATATTTTCTTAATTTTAGTACTTAGTATACTCACCTAGAGTACCTAGGTACTTTCTTGTTGATTAGTAAAATACACTGTCACACCACACAAACAATCTCTCAAACACAGACCAGATGAAAAATAATATAATTATAACTGACTCATGTTTTTGATAATGGTTATTGTTACCACTCAAACAAAACAGGCGCCAACCATAAGGAGCTCAACTTGTTATTAGTATTACGATTGTTTTCTATATACATTGAACATTCCACGTACAACTTGTGGATTGTTTTTAAGAATTTAATATTATTACGACTATAAATTATTATATTGAATCGATATATTTATATATAGGTATGTATTTAAAATATATACATTTTTATTTATTTTACAATTATTTTTCGTAAATAAAAAAGTATCTAAGTAATTAATGTTCCATATTTTTTTATTCGTGTAATGCTGCATTTTAATTAAGTATTACATAATTTGCCAACACCTACATTTTGCTACCCTAGACAGCCTACACTGCCTAATAGGAAATACGCCTCCGATTAGCATACATCATGCAATGATATATTAATATGAAGATGTAGGTACTAGTTATCAGGAAAGCCAATCGACTAGAGAAAATAATAATAAGAATTAAAAAAACAATTTGGACTTTTTATAGTGATTACACGGGAATATGGATAACTCGTTGACAACTGAATATTTTAGGTAATTTCTTTCGAATTGATAATTAGCAACATTTTACAGCCCGCATTGAATTCAGATTTTTTATTTGATTTTATATATGGGTATCTAATAATTTGTAAAAAAGCTAAAATATTGAAAAACGAAGTTCGATGCGGGCCGTTGAATATTTTCCTTTATTAATTAAAAAAAAAAAACCATGAAATTTGGCTGATTCTACAGGGCATGATTCATTAGCACAGGGCGCTACTTTCGTACTTCATTTGAGTTATAAAATAATTTAAAAATAAAGTG